TTTTTTTTTTTTTTTTTTTTTTTTTTTTGCCTGTTTTTGTCTTACTTCGGTGTGCACTCTCTATGGAATGATGCAATTTTTGGTTAAAAAGGGCTTCTGGTTTTCTTATACATAGCATTAAAAAAACGCTGAAATTTTGGGTCCCTGTTAACGCCTCTCCCTTATCACCAACTCAACATTGTATCTCAGGGGATGGTGGACCCGCTTTCCAGAAGGTGTAGCTCCCCACCAATAGACTGGAGCCCCGTGCAAGACAGGTAGGAGTGCATGCTTTTACCATCACAGTCGTCACTCCTGTCTGTTTTGACAGGCGGAATTCATTTCCCAAAAAAAAAAAAGAAAAAAAAAAAGAAGTGTGTTACGATCCTGGCCAATTTCGAAGTATACAAAGATCAGAAAGTACAATGCCATCCACTTGCAAATAGAAATGAATGAACTTGAGAGAGGAGAGAGAGGGTAAGAAGTCCCCAACGGGGCCTTCCAGATGCAGCGCCTAGCAAGGTGATGAAGATGGTGTCTCCCATAGCCAGGTAAGTACCTCGTCACTCTCCTCCCTCAGTCCTTCTCCCTCCTCCTCCTACCAGGCGAGCTCCACCATAACCCTAGGTGGAAGCTCCCGACTTCTTCTTCCTTGCAGCGCTAAAAGCAGCTAGCGCTGCTCCTCCCAACACTCCAGCAGCGTGATGCCCAACTGCACGCTGAACAATGAGGCTGGGCTGTTTGCCCGGCCTGACGATATAGCGGCCTGCTTGCCTCTTGGGCGGTGACTTCCAGGCCGCTCGGCCTTCCCAGCAACCGGTACCTCCTCCCATTCGTAGGGAAACATCATTGCAGACTTCTGATATTACCCGTACAGGCTCTAGACTCAGACTGGACGGACTGGTACCGGCCTAGACTTAACCTACCGCTACTGGGCGTCTAAGAATGCCAACTTTGTCTTTTCTGCTCGGACTCCAGTACCCCTCACATCTACCGCTACGGGGTGCGGTACCGGCCTACCTGCTACTTGAGTGTTTTTCTGCTGCTTCAAGCACCGCGGGCCCCTGGCTCCGCCACTCGAGTGTTTTCCCCTGCTGCAACCCTTCAATGCCACGGCCACAGGTAAGTACCGGCCCTCTGGGCCTACCAACACGTAAGTAGCCTTGCGGGTCTCACACACTCATACCGACAAGCACTCAGTCAGGCATGCAGGTTACAAGCACGCACACACACACATACCAGTAAACACTCATACAGGCACACAGATTACAAGTGCACACACACACAGGCTTAGAAATCCCAGCAGAATGCGGGAATCTCAGCAAGGCATCCATCCCATATGCAGAACTTAGGAAATCAGCAGTATTCTCAGTCTGTATTCTGACGGGTTATTACAAGTGTCAACGCGACTGACAGCCCTGAAAGAGTTGACCTTTCAACAAGTAAGTAGTCACAGGGTTTGACCAGAGGTCAACCCCACTGATAGCCAGAAAGGGGTTGACCATTGACAGCCCTGAAAGGGTTGACCTTTCAACAAGTACGTAGTCACAGGGTTTGACCAGAGGTCAACACCACTGATAGCTGGAAAGGGGTTGACCATGCTAGTGGTAGAAGGATCACTCTGAGGCTTACTGTTCTCCTACCTGTAGGAGAATGGTAAAAAAGAAAAAACAAAGAAAGAACAAGAAAGAAAAAAAAAGAAGAATGGTCAACCTCACCAAAAGCCATAACGCGGTTGACCATTTCAAAAAGTAGAATGCTCACAGGGGTTGACCATGGGGTTGATCATTCGAGAAGTAGAGTGGTCACAAGTCAACTTGGTCAACCTCACTGACAGCCCTGAAGGGGTTGACCATTCCTCTAGTAGAATGGTCAAATGGGTTTGACCATTTGTCAACCCCACTGACAGCCGTAAAGGGGTTGACCATTCTACTGGTATAGTCGAGGGTTGACCACCCGCTGACAGCCCTAAAGGGGTTTGAGTCCGTTTGACTATTCGTCAACCCCACTTGCTCACAAGTGGTTAACCAGGAACCACACTTTCAGCTCCTGAGTACCGGATCCGAAACTGAAATTATCATGGTTGCCATTCGGACGTCTGGATCCCGATCCAGACGGTCCGGTGTCCGGTGTCCGGTGTCCGGTTTGGAGGATCTGGTTGGACCCTGATTTGAAGAACTTCTAAAAAACAAAATGGGGTCCCCAGGGCTTGGGGGACCCCAGAAAATTGTTCGCGTTGTTTTTTGTGGACCGTCGCCCCAACTGGCCCGGCCCTGAAGGGCTTGCTGTTGGAGGACTTCGGAGGGCAGTATCGAGGTGTTCATTTCTCGCCGGCGGGCCGGGGACGAGGTAGTCAAGGAGGAGGGACGGAGGGTGAGTGGGACGCTGGGGGAGGGCGACGAGGGAGGGGGTTCTGGCAACAGGGTGGGCAGGTGGCAATGGACAGATGAGCGACTCGCCCTGTCTCTTATACACATCTAGATGTGTATAAGAGACAGGTGTGTGTGTGTGTGTGCGTCCATCAATGTCTTGGTTGTTCTGTCTGTGCTTATCAGTCTGTCGATCGGTCCATTGATTGGTCGGTTGATTGGTCAGCTCGATCGGTCGGTTGATCCGTCTATTTGTCTGTTGGTTGGCCAGTTGATCGGTCGGTGGATTTGGTGGCTGCAATGGTTAGTCCGTCCGTCTGTCAATCTGTAGGTCCTTTGGTCCCTGTGCCCCTCTGTCACTCTGTCTCTCTCTCTCTCACGCACATATGCTCAGATGGCCCTGTCACTGGCAACATTTGATTGTGTTGAAGAGTCATATGCCAGTTCACCCCTCTTCCACGGGTCCTAGATGCCTTCCTCCCAAAACCCTGTCTCATGAGGTTCATTTGAAATTAGTGATCTTTGTGTATCAATTTGCGGATGAACGTAAACGCCGTAAAGCACTTATATTATGATCTCTGCTTGGAGTCGCTTTAGTCAGATCTCAAAAAAGATTACAAGAGCCCCTTCAATGCGGTTCTTCTCTATTGTTTTCGCATTCGTGAGGCTAATGCAACAAACACATTGTTCATGGAAATCTATGGCACTGCAAGATATCCCACCTCTGGGTGTAACTAACGTAACTGTGGGGAGGTTGCCAAAGGCCCAAAACAGGGAGACAGTATACGGTGAGAGTGAGAGAGAGAAAGGAGAGAGAAAGGAGAGAGAAAGGAGAGAGAAGAATGGAGAGAGTGGACTGGAACAATGACAAAGATGAGGATCATTGTGGATGTTCTCCTTGCATGGCAGATCGCCTGTATATTTTCAGAAACCAGCTTCTGGAGAATGTGGATTTGGAGCTGACATTTGAGAGCACTTGCGCTTTCCTCACGCTGGACTCTCTCAGGCCATATGGTGGAAATTACACGGTGTACTCAACCGGAATAGATGGACAGCAAGAGGAGTACTTTGTCTCGGAGGATATGCAGGTTAACACCTCGGTTTTTGTTTATTTATTTTAAGCACATGAAAAACAAAAAAAAGGTTAACACGTCATTTTATATGTTTGTTTTTGTTTGCTTCTGCCATGTCTGCTTGATACAGTTGACATCCTCTGGGAGGGCCTCATTCCACTTGATAGCCAGAATTATGCATTTGTGACCGTCGATTTCGTGCAGATTATCGGTCAGAACCTGTCAGAACTGGTCAGAACTGAGATTAAGCATTGCTCACCACCACTTTTGCAGAGATCGACGGTTAGGCACATTCTTAACCCCTGTAGTGGGAATTAAGGCCCTGGTAACCCAGTGGCCATGTTTGCTTAATGTTCTTTTGGGCACTCTCACTACTCTTCACACGTGCACAAAACACAGATAAACCAAATGGTAGAAGAAGGAAAAGAAAGCGGATTCCGTAAGAGACATGCCCTCCACTGGATAAACACCGAACAGTCTGTCATTGTGGACTGGATTGGTACGGGCCCTACTCCGGGAATGTGGTGGCACGAGGGCCAGTTCGAGGTCCTCTCACGTGGCGGATGTGAGTTGATTGGCATGGAGGGGCCAATTGAGAACTGCTGACGCATGGTCAACACCTTTAACAAAGGGTTGACCAATCTACGAGTACAATGGTCACAGGGTCTGCGCACGTGGTTAACGGGGGACCCCCAGTTTCAGCTCCTGAGTAACAGGTCCAAAACTGAAATTAGGGTTTGGGGGTGGAATTTTATGTTTTTTTTTTTTTTTTTTT